TGGGGTGAAACACAGTTCCGGAGATGTGATTTCGATTTCGACTTCTGATAAGAATATCAATCCGCATGCGTAACTCAAAACACCCTGAGGGAAAAAATAACGAAACTACACTCAAACCATTTTCTTTTTTAATATGTCAAATGATTTGTTTTCTTTTTATCATGACAAACAAAAAGGAATTCCTAGTTTCCCTTGATTCCACCAAAGCAAAGCGTTCAGGTCTTGATTTTCTCAATACAATTTCTTACAGTTCGTTGAATTGTAAGTTGGGGATTTACACTAAAAAGCAAATTATACACGACACGACAACTGAATCAGGATGCTGAAGGGATCATCCAGTCCCGTATGGAATTCGTTGTTGGTGGCCGAAGTCTGTGATATGCCATCTTGAGCGCCTCTGACCACTCTACGCCTAGAGGTTAATTGGCAAGCCTTAGAAACATACTGATAATTACTTAAGTCTGAATTCCTGAATTGAGAAAGCTCGTGGGAGGGGACCCTGGTAAATCCACTCATGCACTTTATCGATTACAAGATGATGAAGCATTCAGCTGCTTATCAATGGCATTAGAAGTAACCTCTTGACTCGTATTATCTCTGTGAAAAGTGGCAAATGAATGCGATGTTACTTAAGTTAACAGGTATGCAGGGCGAAGGAATTGTTACCATTCGGACAGCAGATTGCGGTGAATGATTTATTTCTTCGGTTTAGTAGCTTTATCAAACACGTCTTGTGCGAACCAGGAATGAATTTTAAAACGAAAGAGAGCGGATGATTCAGCTAAAGGGAATGGAAATACCCCAACTGATCGTGCGTGATCGTCGAAAGAACTAGTAGTCGGAGAGAGCGGCTTGTTATACACAAACATCATTATCATGCAACCGCAAGGATATCAGCAAGCCAACTTAAATAATGTGCGCTAGATAAATGTCTCGCCACATTCGTGGTAGGAAATACTTGACCTCCCAATAAGCCACAGGGCAATGGTAGCCGATTTTTCAAGCGGAAGGCGGGTGGTTGCAGTATGACCTGCCTTACCGACGCTGAGGTTACAATTTTTAATTGGCGGTGGAGGTGTTAAAATTTTAGCGTTGACAGTGTCTCTAACACATTGCGTGAGCTATTTTACAAATTGATTTCATGCCAGTTGGTAAGTTAGCAGAGTGATTAAGTACATAATCAAAAAGTGCTCTTCAAAATATGAGCCAATTTTCTTCTCGGGCGGTAACCAGGAGACGGACAAAACAAGAAAGAGTTAGCTTGCGGTTTTTCTTAAAGAAAACAGACTCAGTCAGTTGATAAATACGCCAGCCCCAGTATGCGGCTGTTTCAGACCGCATCCCGTTAATTGGAAGCCAGACTGGAATAAAGAAAATAAATATTACACGTTTGTAAACATCGAGATTAAGCAAGTGTGTGAAAGATTAGAAGAGTTAGTTAACTGTGACAGAAAAACACTGCTGAATTGTCAGTGGTTAATCAGTGCCCTTTCTCTGGCCTTCCACAAATTATTTTAACTTCAAATTCCTCTCCGGTGAAGGTTCTATAGTTTCTGTAGGCCAAGGCCAAGGAGGGGCAGCACAAAAACATCGACAGGTATCGAAAGACAAACTCGCGGAAAGGAAATCGGAATTTACAGGCTTGTGAGATATCCGGCGCATTGCGTGCGAGGATATTTTCCAAAGGTTAAACTTATTTTGGGGCCATATTTTATCAGCGAGGGTTAATTAAGGGTGTGTAGCCTTGTTGAGTCATTTCCATATTTGTTTACAGTTTTGCGTCTCTATATTGGATTTACCGCAAAATCTTCACAGAATCGTGATGGTTTTTGAAAAGGAAATACAAATTTCGAGCGGGTAGGGACCGTTATAAAGTCGGCTATCTATGCACAGATTCGCAATATCCAAAAAAATTGCTATAAATAACGGGCATAGATAGATAAAAATGGCAATGTGGAAGAAAAGCAAGCAACTAACAACATTGCGATTAATTGATGATGACAAACTAAGCCGGAATGAGGCACGTATTTTCTTGCGTCAGGCAGATAATGTACATCGTTCTAACGGCCTCACAGGAAGTTCACAATGGTTTTGTTGTCACTCTGTTATAGCTATATTTAAGGTCTTAGATAACTACACAAACGGACGAGGCCTATTTGTTGTGCAGGCAAACTGAAAACAAGACAGTTCATCACGAGAGATATACGGGCTTTTCGGTGCGGAACTGTGTGACCGCATCCTGTTTAAAAATAGGGATTGAAATACCGCGGTTACACCCACGTCCATTGGTTTCAGCACTCGGGTGAAAGCCAGCCACTTCTTACCACGTGGTTCAGGAATTCCTTTGCGTGTTATTTGTCGTTAATTATTTAATTAGGAAATAGAGAGTTTTTTCCGCTATCCTCGTGTTAATAGAGTTAGAGTGAAATAAGTGGATGTTAAAAAATTAAGTGCTTGGCTAATGTCTTGAAAGCGTAAGTCAATTTGAACATCTGTTGATTTGTAAGATCTTCTGTTATCAGTTCTTAAAAAGAAACGCGCACTATTTTAGCCAAAGGGTGGAGTTGACTAAGATGCTTCATAAACGTGTATTAAATGGTTCACTAAATGATATTTTTCTGGCGATTTTTCCTGCGTGAATCGATATTGAAACGGAAGTAAAGCGAGTCTAATCGAAATATGATTACACGACAGAGGGTTTATATCCAATAAAGTTTGCTTCGTGAAAGTATTTGCCCTTTGGTGAATTAAGAGATTTCTATTACCGGCTTCATAACACTCTTTCCTTCGTCTTTCGTTAACAGATTGAAACATTTCTTGGACGTGAAATGACTACTTTTCTTAAAATACAGTCCCAGCCTAACCATATGACATTTTTTCGGAAGACGGGTAGACTAGAATTTTTAGTCACCTAAGAGAAACATTGTTAAAAACAAAGTTCATGAGCTTTCTCAAAGAATTTGAAATCTGGGGATTCACTACTCACTTTTTTAGCTTTTTTAGCTGAAGATTTTGATTAGTCCTAGTGAATATCATTGGTCAATCGTTTAAACAAAGAGGCCTTTTAAACTGTTTAAACGGTCAGGTAACGGAAAATTCCAAGCGCCTCAGGGATAATTCATGGTAACCTACTTAAGCATTAGGATTTCACCAGTCACTTGCACGGCTATCAACTGCTATTGTTTTTGAAAGAAAAAATTTGGACGGGTGGCAAGTGGTCTTGGAGCAAAAGCGTGGTGCACTCGTGCAAGACAAAAGCGTTTCTTTTTTTGCTACTACTGCTACTTTCAAAGCCGGTACCAAAAACGTTGACACAGCTTCAATTTAGCAAGTGGTATGTTTCAGAAAGCTGTTTATCTTTTGTCTGAAACGCAGCCTAATCATGCATGAGATAGCGTCTAAATCACTTCAATGTCACCTTAACCAGTTAAAAATTTATTGATAATGATAGCTCTACCTTAGATTTATACAACAAAGCTGCTTAGACTAAACTGACTGGGCACGAAAAGAATTCTTTAAAGAAAACAGTTGATGGTTATTGAGCGCTTTGCTCTTTATTATGGTTGTTGATAGGATTAAGGAGCTAATATTGTGCTCTGGCAGGCATCCCGCCACGATTTTAAAAATAGATTAATAAACTTTTTTTTCAGAAGATCCAGGACTCCAAAACATAGCCTTACTTACGAGGCCGTTAATGATATAAATATTGTCGGTAAGGAAAGGGACAATAAATAGGCAAATGAAAGACGATAAACCGCACGGAAGTCTGACGCGTTCGCGCGAGGGCCAGTCGTTCGAGTGCGTCACGTTGCTTAACCATTCCCCCCGACCTCCACCCCCGGGGAGGGACAATACATCGACAAATGAAAGACAATCAACCGCACGCCAGTCTGACGCGTTCGTGCCAAAGCGTGTAGAAAGCCCCTCCTCCATACCCCTGGGGAAGGAGAGATAGGGGGTCGCCCCAAAAGGCGGTTTGCATTGAATTTAAGAAGTTCTTCTGTAAAAAGAGCACACACAAAGGCTAATGTTTGATCTTGGTTGAGAGTAAAACTGGAGGAGACAAAATGTCTGATCATCAAGCCGCTAATCCATGTCTAAAGCATTTAGCCCCGGGTGACGCTTAAGTGGCGTGATTCATCTCACGTGGTCTGGACCTATCAGTGACTATTCGTGTCGATGACGATCGACCTTTTCATGACATTATTTTTTTTAAACATTTTTTTTAACAATCAGAAAAATTTCTCATCCAGTACGTGATTAGTATTAATCGGCTTCTTGAATTGGCTCCAGTTGCTTTGAAATAATCCGCTATCGCAACTTTCATAAAGCGATTTAGCAAGTGACGATAATCAGTTGGGTCGCGTGCATGTCGGTATATTACAAAGCTCGCGATTGGCTTAAAACGATTCCGCCGCGCAACCTAATAAAGTTAAACCGATTTCTGTGTCACGCAAATTTTTACCTACAATTGGCACTAGTTTCGTGCGGGAGCTTGGATTTAGTTTGATTTCTTCAAATAAACGTCGTTATGGGACATGCATTTTCTTAATCGTGGAAAAGGGGCTTCAGACAATTATAAATCAAATCAGATTCGCATGCAGGTAACCTCCAACCAATGAGGTGCCAGGACTCAATGAAGGATAAAGTTAGAAAGATAAGATGTATCCTCAGGCGCTATCGTCCCTATTTGGGAGGTAGGCTTCTGGAAGGTAATTTGTAACCATGAATTGTAAAATCAAAGGAAAACTGCGACTAACCTTTCTCCCCGATGAAGACAAAATGACTGGTTTTTGTCTTCGCGCCCTCATCATCAACTTTGGTGATAGGAAGAGGGGTGGGATGTGTTAATTGTTTCATTTTATTTCGCCCAAGATTGCAGAACCACACACATTCGTTATCACAATCATCTTTCAACTGAAGCGTTCCTCTCATTCGGTGCATATAAAGTAAATTTACGCCGCGTTTGTTCTCAGTTTTAATCATGAGATCAAGAGAGCGATTGTCCCAGAAAAAGCTTTTATTGATTCAGTAGTTTTCTCTACAATGCATCAATGCAACGTTGATTTCTGACACCTGTACACTCGTCAAATCAATATTTACGGAAAACATTCACCACCGCGAAGATCTAACAGTTTTTTTGGCCTCCTTACTACTTGGTCTTACCTTATCTACTGATATTTTCAAGAGTGTGAAATAAATCAATCAAACAATGCCGAATCACGCCGCATGATCAAATCGTGTGCGGAAGAAAACTTCTCGACACACAAGGTTTTCAACCCGTTTCTTTCCTAGCAAACTAACCGTGCTGAGTTCCATAAGATAACAATCGGCATTTCAAATTGATCAGTATGGCATCACCTTTACATATAAACAAAAAAAAGTACCTTTCTAATTGCCCAAGGTGTCCATGAAATGTAAATTGAACTACTTTTACCCATGCATACTACACTACTACGCTGATTTAGCAACAACAAAGCGTGACTTCGACAGCGACGAGCGCGTTCGCTTCCATCATGACGCGATACATTTTAGACAACACTTGATAAATGAAGATTGCTAAGAACCGACAAAATAAATCATCGACTATCTAACTTTTACCTTGATGACTGACAATTCTCTGGCAAAATCCGAGATACTCAACGAAGGTAAAGCCGACTTAAATCCAAATGCAACAACTTAGTGTTCAATACGAATTACTCATTACCCCACCCTCCCACAGTTGTTACTTCAGACACAAATTAAAGTCGAGAAGGCGGGAAGAGAGAATTGGTCTCACATGACAGGTATGGCCACTAGATGGCCGACTCAAACGAACATTTTGCTTCAAACACAGAAATTGCGCGCAGTAATGGCTGATGAAAGCCGCACACACCTTTATAAAGGCTGAAATAAAATTCGTCTACAACTTTTAGAACGTTATCTTGGAATGGAGTGCCATACTTGAAAGGTTACTCTTAAACACCTCCTTAAGCAATAGGGAACAAGCTGGTAGCCCTGTGGTGGTTGTTCTATCTAGACTGCACCCGGTTAGGTTGCTATTGCTCGGTCATTTGTTGTTTTTCAGCCCTCATTTCAGGTCGGTAGGGTTAGGTACACAACCCATCATATCTTCAGCCCTTCCAGAACACCTGGATTTACACGTCACCTCACGTAACTGCCTTATACTGCTTGGAGAACCGGGCACAGAACGCGCGCAGTGATTCCACGTTGACTCCGCAGCTTCGCGCAAATTCCATTGCCTCTGGGGTAGCCTGGGTACCACTAGAGGTTACACCCTTTCTTTGGCCTCGCTTTGGAGCCTCATACGAGGTACTTCCGGTTAGTAAAGTCACAAGGCCTTTGCCAGTTTGACGCAGGAAGTAGCGACAACAGCTGACAATTTGATTGAAACGCCTGCAAAATACAATGTCTTACTAAGTCGACCGTATTGTCACGGAAAGCTTCGGGATTTAAGGGCAGGCACCGTTCTGTACAGATCGATTTATAGCTTCATAAAATCAGAAATTCCTTTCTTCTACCTCCAGTTTCCATTCGATACTTGCTATCTTTAAAGATTCGTCTTAAATTTTTCAAGTTAGTTACCAGACAACCATACAATTTTTCTCCATTTGTGTTTCTTCTTTCCAAACTCGCCAAAATTTCCTTGAAGTTAATTGAAAACGGAACAGAAAACGACTCAATAACAAAGACGTAGATCAGAGTTATGCAATCTAACATAGCGAACAGTTAATATTCCCGAAACCCTCGGTCATCGATAATGGAACGACTATAGCGGAAGAGCAACTACCTAAGCGAAACTGTTTTTCCGATTCTCTCAGGCAAGATGAGATAAACAGCCTACAGCCAGGGAAAGATATACTTACCACACTGCCACGTCCTCATAACGTCCACGCCTCCGTTGTCCATCTAAAGTTTCATTCTCTTTTTGAGCTCTAATCCATCTAAGGAACAAAAGCATTACAGACGTTTAGCCACACAATAGAGAACGAAGAATTTAAGCACATTGATGTGACACAAGTAATCAATCGTTTTCAGTACCTGTTTCCTTTTTTAAACTCCTGCTCCAAAAACTTAGTGGCCTCTCTCGCACCGCTGTCGTACTTTTTCAGATCATCAAGCGCAGAAATCACTAAAAGAAATCACATACCAAGAGAATGGAGAACCCGAACCAAGAGCGTACAAAAAAGGTCTTCTAATAACGGAGTTTCACTTAAAATAGACGAAATTCTTCGTGTGCCCAAATCGATCAGCGAAGCCAAGAATGGGTTAACTTGTTAACATGGCAAAGCAAGGAAAAGGAAGCAGCCAATGTCAAGCGCGGGAATATAAGGAACCTGGCGCCGTGCAACTGGTGTTGAAGCGCGGGAAATTGTGCCACCAGTGTCAAGCGCAGAAAAATAAGGAACCTAGCGCCAGGCCCATGCAACTGGTTCTTAAGCGCGGGAAGTTGCGCAGTACGCGCTAACAATGGGAAAGCACGAAAACGACACTCTTATTCGTTCAAGATATCCAAGATATCTGCATTACAAAAATCCAGAGTAAGTAGTTCTGCAATTGAAAGATACCGACTAAAAAGACTTTAAGAAAGGTGCCTGCAAGCCAGTAAAAGTGGTTGTACCTTGGATAGGAATGATGACCACAAGTTTCTCCGAGGCGATTAATCTTCGCACCAGATGTAACTGAGTACACAGTGCCATGGTATCAGGAATAACATAAACCGGTCCGTCCTGAGGAGCCGTGTTAAGGGTGCTCTCCAATTCAGCCACTTCAGACTACAATTAAGTTGAGAGGTTAACCCCTGAACTCCAAAACGTTTTAGAAAAGAGTGACCATTATCAGATTATCGTAGAAATTATTTGTGCTTGAATCACTACAGCGTCAGACCCGATTATCAAGCCACCAAACTAGCTGGCGTGAAGTGGGGCAAATCTCAGTACTTCCGGCTGAAGGGGGGCCAGTGGTGGGACAGTATTTTTAAACACTCCGTCCCTGTCCTCAGTAATGGGAGTTCTCTCTCTTTCTCTCTCTATTGATTTCCTCAAATATTTTTTCCCTTAAAAATATGAGCAGCCGATCAACGCTCCAGCGTCATAAATGGATAACTTAAATCGCAAAAAAGAGGACCACTCGGGGTGTAACTGATTTTATTAAAAACTAGATCATTGGATAATGCAATTCAAGACTTTTTATTGGCTTAGCCATTATGGTATATCAGCCAATATACCATAATCTACAAATATGGCAAGCGTACGTGGCAGCTTAAAATTAAAAGGGAGCTAAAAATTTAATAAAATTTAATAATTTAATTTAACGTTTTTAATAAAACAATTATTCCACTCGCGCTTGTTGGATATGAGATGATTATAGCCAACTCGGCGCTACGCGCCTCGTTGGCTATCTATCATCTCATATCCAACGCGCGCTCGTGGAATAATTGTTAAGTATATTATCAAATGACGGAATTACCTGTAATAGCTGTTGCGCCATCACCTTCATCACTCTGGCTCGTCTATCATGATCTCCCTAACAATTACAAATAAAAAAACAAAAACGGTCATGTTGTGTCTTCTGCTGATCGAAATCGATCACCCCCTTCCCAGCAGCCCTTTAAAGAAAAAGGAAACTGGAATGCAGTGTCCAGAGTTTTATTCTTTTCCTTTTTGACAAAAAAATTTAAATGTATAATTCAATGAAATAATTAATGTCTCACCACAGGCAGTGGCGCTGGTCGTTTATCAACAGCCATCACTTGTTCTCGTTCCGCCATCTGCTGAGGTCCAAGAAACTGCTTGGTATTCTGGTCCCAATCAAACGAACTAAGCTCCTGTTGAAAGTAAAGATGATGGAGCAATTTCTAACTGAGCCTTCTCAGTAATCCAAGATTTCATTGGTCCTACCCCCATTCACTCTGTGATTGGTTGAGAAAATTCGTGCCACTCTCCTAACCAATCAAATGCAAACCTTTCTCCGGGATTTCATTGGTCCTACTTCCTTTTATTCTGTGATTGGTTGAGAAAATTCGTGCCACTCTCTCAACCAATCAGATGCCTTTCTCTCTAACATTCTCTTGCGCCTCTGACAGTTTGGCTGTTTTTCATTGGCCCTTCGCGATATTTTCATTTGTTCTGATTAGCCACTGTGATTAGTTTGGCTTTGGTTTGGCGAAAATCAATCGAAAAGCGCTCCAAATAGTAAGTCATTTCCAAAAAGTGACTGAACACTAGAAACATAACTGTACCCTGGCGAAAGAAACTGCAAGAAAACTAGAAATCAAAGGGAGGGTACCTGAGTAGATGCCATCTTCATTCCAAAGCTTCTCAAACACTGAACTCGAACTGCAGCCTGAAAAACGACAAGAAAAAACAAATGCAAATGAATAAAAAATAAGAAACCTTTAAACAACATTAAATCGAATGTAATTAGGTCGTTAAACCACTTATCAAAAAGAAACAGAAATTCTTCTTCAAAAACCGTTCGCGAAACAAGGGATTGATAACAGTAAAATAGAAATGAATCATGGAGAAATATCAACTTTTACGTGGCAAGGTCAAATATACTACCTCAAGATAGTAACAGTCCCTCGTAAGCCTGCTCCACTTCCTGTCGAGCCTACTGTGTATAGGGGTCAGTGGAGTAAATCCTAACAGAAACATGTCTTCTGGTAGACCACGTGTTTGGATCCAATCCTTATCGAGCGGCTCGTCAAGAACACTCTGCCATGTTTGCTGTCTTGGTAACGGAACTTCCAAAAAAAGAGAGAACATAGGAGAATCAAAACGAATGAAATAACTTCTAAAACTAAATCAGCCTGATAACTAAACCGACAGATTGAAAATGTCCAATATTATAAGGGGATTAATCCAAATCGGTAAATTTAATGCCATCAATATTGCCTACCTGCAACAATCATTTGGTCTGGCGATGGAAACTTGTTCAGTAGAAGAGCCAGTCTTGACCAAAGGGCGCTGAGGCTCTAGGGAAGGGAACGAAAAAAAAGGGCTCAACCATGATTTCAAAGGCAATGGCAAAGGCAAAGACAAAGGCAAACTTCTACGCTTGAATTTTTTGTCGTTCTAAGCCAGCCATTTTGCACGCTTTCAATAAGATATTTTAAAATTTCTGTCTTTCGAAGCCTGCGGTATGTAAGTTTGTCAGAGGATATTTTCATTTTTCGTAAAGGACGCCCTGTGTTTTTAGATCGAGTTACATTTTCGAACGCTTTTTTTGTAGAGAAAGGAAAACTAGAGAAAATTCTTACAAATAAGGAAAACCAACTCAAACAACAAGAAACACATACTTCGGGAATAAAACCCAGGTCATTGCAAATGCCCTCACCACTACATAATGGCGATCACTTTCTAACATCAGCAAAATGATTTACATGAAATGTTTCTGGTACACACCTCAACACAAGTCATCACCAGTTCGCTGTTGAGCCGCAGCCAGTCGGTCATCACCTTAATGGCAGGTAACAGCTTTTGATTGGCTATGGCCTTCAGCAGATTGGATTCCACACAATCTCGAAGTATTTCAGCTCTTGAGGCTACTGATGACTCTGTAGAGATGAACTTTCATATATTCATTGTATCTGATTTATCATCACGGGTTTATTACGAATCAACTTAACGGCCTGTTCCCAGTTGGCTTGTTAGCTCAATTGGTAGAGCGCTGCACTAGTATCGCAGAGGTCAGTGGTTCGAATCCCGTACAGGCCTGATTTTTTTCAGATCTGACTTTCGCTATTGCATAAATAGCGCTCTCTACTGCGAGGATCGTGCACATACGTATCTATAACCGCAGTTCAAAATATATGAACTTTCATATATTCATTGTATCTGATTTATCATCACGGGTTTATTACGAATCAACTTAACGGCCTGGTCCCAGTTGGCTTGTTAGCTCAATTTGTAGAGCGCTGCACTAGTATCGCAGAGGTCAGTGGTTCGAATCCCGTACAGGTCTGATTTTTTTTTCAGGTCTGATTTTCGCTATTGCATAAATAGCGCTCTCTACTGCGAGGATCGTGCACATACGTATAAAGAATAATGATAATTAAATAAACCCGAGTAATTTGCAAGCTTTGTCTAAGAAATCTGGGTTTCCAAGCAATTAAAAGCTTTTATAAAAGCAAACTTGTATTATAAACAGCTCCTCAGTGCCCGTTTTTTTAAAAAAAACTTAAGACTTTCCTTTTTGAAAAAGCATTTTTATAGTTTTTCTATTGTGTCGCTCTTGTTCAGCGCTTTTGAACTTTGAGGATACTAGCGCTATATAAATACTTTATCATTATTATTATTACTATTATTATTAATGATTGAGCTTCAAAACTTCGAGCGATGTTAGCAATTTTCTGCATTGAATTGGTTGACTTTAAGGCAGAGTACCTTCATGCATGAATCATTAAGAACTTACTCTACGCACACAGCGATAAGAACTCTGGTCCCTATTTTGAGATTGATTCTGTTACCTGTTTCTGCGTCGCTAACATCACTAAACAGATCCGGCCTAAAAACTTTCCCCAAAGAAATCCCATTCTGTCCCAGTAAACCAGCTCTAGATCCCAGCTTTTCTGAAGGAGTTTGATGGCATGGTGACTTGTCTACTGGTTTATGCTGTGTTTCCTTCAATAGGTGTCGTCCATTAGCAGCCATGGATATTGTCTTTGGCTGGGATCCGGTGTTACTACCTTCTTCGTCTGATTCACTTTCCACATACACGTCTTCACTATCATCCTCATCGCTGATCAAATCCTCCAACTCGCCGTCCATTTCACCGCCTTCACTCAAATCGCTGTCTTCGTTTTCTTCATTGTCTTCCGACTCCTCCAAATCACTTCCGCTGGCACTGTAGCTGTCAAAACTGTAATCGATATTTCTTCGTCTCCTCCTTCGTCGCCGATGTTTCAAGACGTTCTTGATTGCTTTGTTGCGGTTTAAATGACTTTTCGCTGTGAGTCCTGCCACGGAATTATCGTGTTTCGACAACTTCTCCGAGTTCAAGCCGTTGTGCGAGAGCGCAGCAGTTGCTGGTCCGTTCATTACTTGGGATTCGGCGGTAGAGTGTTCTTTTGCTAAGTAAATCTCTAATGATGAAATGCAGTGTTGAAGAAGAAGAGATAAGAAGGCTAAAGTGAACGCTATTGCTACCGACGACTCTTGAGAACCTACGAAAATTAAAACACTTTACATCACAACCACATCGTGGTCTCGGAATACAAGAAATGGTTTCTTCAAATTTTTCCTTTATGATTCTAGAGGCGAGAGTCTATCAGATCAGGAGAGGACCAAACTTAAGTCACTTAATAGCCCGTACAGACCTTACTCAGTCCCTCTTCAATGTAGTTTCCAGGCTAATTGCATCTTTAATTCCTTGTCTAACAAATCATTCAAGCAACCCGCGAGGCACACGCCACATCATCAGCATGAGAACAGATTTCTTGATTAAAAATGCCACGCTAGAGAGGTTATTTTTGTTGTCAACACTCACCCTTTGACTGCAATCTGGTCACGGCTGCAATCGCCATGACAACCAACTTCACCATAAGCGAGCTGCTTATGACGTCCTCGATGTCTTCAGTGACGTCATCCTCCAGACTGCCATTTTCCTGGGCAGCAATCAGACCATTTTCTAGTGATGAGTTGTGGCTTGGATTGGAGGAGGCCGGATCTACAGACAGGACACTACTGAAGTCTTGTAACACTGACTGGCAAAGGTGGCCAATATCTTCACTGCTTATCTCCGGTGAACTAAATAGAGAATTCACAGATATCTCATTTGAAGTAAACGACACAACTCTTTGACGCCCAAGGGTGCATGTGTTCTCATTTCTCCTTCCATTATCACCCTTATATCAAGTGTAAAGGTCAAGAGAATGAAGGAAATTATCATCAATTTAAGAAGCTCCTGATCATCAAAACAAATTCTTTCCATGGGACAAGTAAAAAGAACACTGCAGAGAATAAAAAAACCAATTTCAAGGTGTATTTAGAGTTTTGGGAGTAATTTTCCTTGCCAGAGTGGTCCAGAAAGGTCTGTTATTTTTCACAGTGACTGACAATACAAAAGATGACCTAAATGCTCATCATCAACTCAGTCCAAAAATTGTTTCTCAGTTATACTACTAATAAGACTTATTTAAACCCCCAACAGTCCTCCGCAGCACCATTCTCTCCTCAACCTCACCAGCATAAAAACAATTAACTCTTTGGATCCAAACAGCAAGTATGCTATTATTCATTTTCACAATAAATAAACTAACAGCAAATTTCACCCCATTCCCCCACAAAAAAAAAAGAGAAATTATGCATCAGCTTCATTCAGCGCATGGCAACTTAATCATCCGTAACAAACCCATTTCACAATCAAAGATCCCTATCACACCATTCTCAACTGACTCATGTCAAATTTATTGTGCACTCAATTGATTTGAAACATAATTTTAAAAGTTCAGTTCTGACTTGAGTACAATTGGGATATTCTTATGACGAGTGCTTTGATGCATGTACTTACTTCTCATGCTGGTACAACACATCTTGGAGGTACAGGAAGTAGACTAGAAACCTCTTTAATCTGGTGCGAAAGGAAAAAAATTTCATTCCTAATAACTTGCAAGGTTATACAGCATAAGCAACTGTCTAAGCTCCTGGTAGGCTTTGTATAAACTTATATTTCTGAAAGGGACATACTACAGGGAGAAGAGTTTCTTAACTATGCAATGAGGGCTAAAATGCAAAGCATTGTTTTTCCCTTTTGGTATTGCCCAGATTTTATGGATGCTGTAAACAGTATGCATTTTTTTTTAATTAAAAGTCTACAAGATTTGAATGGGACACTGATACAGACTTTAAAATACAAGGATATTTTGTGATAAGGAATTATGTTACAACTAGAATCTAAACGTTTTTTATTAAGGGAAGGAGGCACAGGGAGGGCTTACTAGTCAGAATGAGGGGGGGGGAGGCTTAACTCTTTCACTCTCAGAAGTGATTAAATGTAACTTCTCCCTATAATATCCATATATTATTCAGCAAACAGGTAATGAGAATACTCTAACTTATCGGGTAGAAGTTGTTATCTTGATCTGAAACCAAATTGTCATCACTAACTTACAAGGAAATGTGTAGCAGCCAGAAAGGAGAATTTGCAATCAGATCTTGGAAGTTAAAAGGTCACTAGGCATGGGTGCTCACTAGATCCCTTATGCTAAACTAAGCAACAGCTGATTGCTGGTTAATCTGATTGCAAAATTCATTAGATGACTTGTGAATTCAGCATTAAATTGCAAGTGAAAAACAATATCACACTCATTGCTTTGCAATTTGTGCGATATCGGTTTTCAAGTGCAATTTAAGGCGGAATTCATGAGTGTTAATGAAATTTCCTTGAATTGCATAATTGAATAAAAATGAGAAAAAAGAAAACAGCATTACTTATGGTTGTTATGCTTATGTAGATGCAAAACAACATCACTTAGCCTCATTTCCAACTTGCAATTTCACAGTAAATACCTCACTTTGTTAACCAATCAGAAAGCAAGATTTGATTCACTGATGCCATTCCAGTTAAAATATTGAGATACGTTGAAATTCAGTTAGCCCATCAGCTCACCTTTCTTTGCGTCTGGGCTCATCCAAAGGCAACTCTTTAATCCTATGCAGAATGGACCGGTTCTTTTCAAAAATTCTCAGCAAGTTTCCTTCAGCGCCATCAAACACCTCCTTGGACAACAAACTGCAAAACAACAGATTCCAAGGATCTGACATAAGTTTGCTGTGTAGACTTAAAATCTAAAATCACATGACCCATCCAGCCCAGCTTGTGCAATCCCATAGAAAACCATAGTGAAAGCTGACATGTTCAGGGCCTGATGGGTTGACATGAGCCAGTTTGGAAAAGGCCATCCAGCCCTGCTGCCCTTACCTCACTTTGTTGCTTGAGGAAACAGAAATGAGAAAAAAAAATTCATTTTGCTAGGAATTTGGAGTTTCTTGTTCTGAATTAAAAAAATAAGGGAAAAGGTTTTTAGTGATAAAAACAAGCGATAAAAAATATGAACAACGTTTTGACCACTCCACTGTCATTTTCAAGTTAGAGTTCATGAACAAATGTCCACATATATACGATTTCAGAAACAATGGAATGAAGGTAAAAGCTAAGTATTTACATATAAACAATAGAGCTAATAACTAATAAAAAAGTGCAAAAATGAAGTGTAAATAAGCGGTGAAAAGGATGAAAATTAATTAATATGAAGTGTTAAGCAAACAGCTTCATGCGAATAGAATCGCTCTGTTTGTTCAATTTTGGCTTACTTGACTGCAACAAGCTGGTGAAATTCCCATTAGGATACCCCTGCCCTTCAAGGACCATAGACCAGCAAACAAACTACGTGAACAACTTAGCGATCTTAGCCGGAAGATAAATACCAAAGTACATCCTGTCTTTACAAGCCGCAATATCAAAGATGAGCTCAAAGTTAAGGAACCTAAACCTCCAATTGTCAACCAGCAAAACTTATTAAAGGTTTTTATTGCATAATTTTTTTTGCGCTTGTGTGGCTGCCTGTGCCGTTCTATTGCATACCAGTTAGGTTAAAATTTTCAACACTTAGTGATCAAATGATAAAATACTCATTGACTGAGTTTGGTCAGCGGGATGGGAAAAACACTTGGCTCTCAGTAACGAGGCGCCGACCTCATTACCCTTGGTCCAAAGATCCTGACCTCAAGCCAAATATTTTCTCATTTGCTCCTCCCACTCAGTAACTAAGTACACAATATGTACAGTAGTAGAAATTATTCTATGCTTTATTTTTTTTTAATGAGGTAGTAAGATAATCAGAAATTTGTAAACGTTGAATGATGACTGTAAAAAGTTTAGCAAGCTACAGAAAGCTTCAAAATTTGTGGACACATCATGTTGGAAGAGTTCTATTTGCAGTGGAACCTCGATTTAATGAACCTCTCTATAACAAAGTCCTCAGCATAACAAAAAATACGTCAGTTTCAGCCTGGCTAAAGTTACAGTGAAACGTACACCACAGAACCTTGATATAACAAAACCTCAATAAAACGAACCAATTTCCCCAGTCCCTTGGCACTTTGTTAAATCAAGGTTCCACTATACATGAAGAATAACAGTCATGTTTCTATCACATTATAAATCATTAACAGCCCCCCTTCCCCATTCAATGTTGGCTGAAAGTTCATGGATTTACGATACAACATTGTTTAGGGGGGATACAACATTGTTTAGGGTAATAAGGGGGTTTTTTTGTCGCTGATTGTAGGGAATATGAATCTTACTTTCTTTGTTGTAAAAACAATGCAATGAAACTTTGCATTTCGCTCATTTGTAACAACAAATGCTCAACACATCAAAATCTGTGGAAAAGGTAATAAAGTGAAATCTCACCATCTTAGGTAAAAATAGGCTCCCTCACAACCATAGGCTTTTGTGCCAGCAAGGGTTCCAAGTTGGTTTTGAGGCATGCCTAAGAAATAAAGAAAAAACAAAATTATTAACACTCCATTGGATGAATCTCTATCCAGTGGATAGTGCAGCACATTTTGTCAACACTTACATTTACTTGGGGTATCTGCTCGATAGCATTACCTATCCTTTGAACTGGGCCCAGAACATTACAGAGATTATTTATCTAAGCTATTAACTCTTAGAAAAGAATAAAAAAAATCATTGATTCATTTTTGTCACCTATGTCAGTGTTAGTAAGAGCTGCTTCAGAGTAAAACCTCTCAGCAAGTTTAATAGCATCTTCTCCTTCAATGTCTGATTGATACCGTGCTGAAAAAAAAAATCATGTCTTTACTAAAAAATCTGAGCAAGTATACCCAGGCTGCAAGGGGGGAATTGCCATCTTAAAAATAATTCTTACCGATATCTCCAAGGAATATGAGACAGCGTTGACATGCTTTTAATGCCCATGACTGCACCTCCTCATCCTGATTTTCAGCTTTGAAAACATAATGACATTTTTAAATGTTATTAACACTGGATACTTTCCTTGTAGGATCAAAAAGAGTCTTTGGGTTGACCATACAAAGAAGGATTTTCATCAAGTAATGTCATGGTAAAGTAATGATGAATGAATGAATGAATTCCTTATTTATATTGCACCCTTTCTATACAATATTCAAAGAAGCAGTACCCCCCATCGATTTGATAGACACTGCACAAAGACAGACCACAACACCGGGCACTACGTGCCCTACTCTTTTCAAACAGTGTGTGGGTTCTTTAACATCCCACAATTTTTTTTATCACATACAAGGGCTTGAAAGATATGACCTCCATTTATCGTGCCTATCCGAGAAGACTAGAAAGTCTAACCATTCGCAGATACTATTACAAAGGCAGCAATTTCTTCTCAGTTATTTAAAGACCCTGAATGTTGGTCCGGCCAGATTTGAACTCACAACCTCCCGCACAACAATCCCGCGCTCTACCAATTGAGCTAACCGGGAGGCGGTTGATATAACCCTTTTACTCTTAAGAGTGACTGGCTTCTGATTTCTCTGTACGGTATCACCCTTGAATCAAATGTAAAGGTCAAGAGAATAAAGGAAATGATCACCAATCTAAGAGGCTTCTGATTGTCAAACAAATTCTCCTTGTCAGCACGATAGGAAATGTGAACAAAACAGAAAGGAAAATATAAATACTAATGTTAGGGTGTAAAGGGACACAGTGAAGAAAAGAGGTTAAGCCAATGAAATTCTATTGGAGAATTCCATTCTATGGTTAAAAAATAGGATTATTCATCATGAGAAAACATTCTGGTAAAGCTTTCTGGTAATTGCAGTCATATGATCCAATCATTTTTAACCTTCCAGACATAATCCTTACAATTAGAGAAACACTTGGCAGTTTACAGATTCGCAAATAATGGCAGAAACTTAAAACAAAGAAAGGATTTAATATTCCCTGTTATTGAAAGTTGATGTAAATGAAAGAATTCAAAGTAAGTTCCCACCTTGGTGCCTGGATGGCAATCCCCAAGACAATATACCATCAATAGCAAGATGGTATCGCCGTTGAAGATGTGTCAACAAGTGGTAATAATATCCTGCTGCAGAGGACAGATGGGTGCGGAGAGCTCCATCTAGAGGAAGGGTATCACCCTCTAGAATCTAACACAAAACAGTAATTGTACTAATAATTGTACTAGTAATTGTACTAATAATTCTACACAGCCAGTAATAGTTGGCTGTGTAGCCGCGCGATGCGGTTCCAGTCGAGGCCCACAAGTTGACCCTTGCTCACCATAGAATCTCCAGTAGCTCAGTGGTTAGAGCATCCGACTAGATCACGGAGGGTCGTAAAAAATTGTTTCATCTAAAACAGTAATTAACCCCTAAATTACCATAGGTGGTGTTATTTCTCTTAACATGTAAATTCTCCTTATTATGTCAATATACAGTTACACAAACAGGCAAACTTAGAACAGACAAATGTATCAAGAAGTGGACGTTATGCCGAACAAAATTCCCTTATGATAAATTGTGTACAATAAGATACAGGGTAGCCAATACAGATCTTTAGTTAGAGAGAAAGTATGATTTACTTAAAAAGGACCACAAAAGTCGCCTCATTGACAACCACATAGTTTATTCCAAAGAAGAATGATGTATATTTTATTCATTACCTTTCTATGGTTCCTGAGCTTCTGGATGACATCGTAAAAGACCTTTCTCCAAAGTCGTTCTTCAGCCCTACGGCCATAGTCCTTGGAATGTTGAAGAATAAGGCTTTCACACAGGGATCTTAGCCTGCAAAACGATCAAAAGTGATTTGAGGGTATTTTTAACATCTCAACTATAAAGAGTAACATTTTCTCTAAGGATTCTTCAGAGAACTGCTAAATAATAAACATAACACCTCTGAGTGGGGGTGCTTATTCAGAAAAGGCTGCTTATTTCTTTTCTTGAGAAATAGCAGAATGTGTGAGACAAACTTTAGATGTAGTAGCAGAATATGTAGAAGTAACAAATAATACTGTGAACATTTGAACATAATAATGGTACTAGATATACTCAAGCAGTGTTTTCACTGAAACAGAAATAGGGGTGCTTATTGGAATGAGTGCTTATGTGCAACAGAGACAGTTGTTAGAATAGGGGTACTTATAATAAAAAAATATTTTAAGGGGGACACTTATTAGCCCGGGGTAAATTTTGACCCCTAAAAGAGACCGCTTGTGTTCATGCATTGTCTCTTTGGCACTTCATAAAATAGAAAACTAGTTAATGTTGAGGTAATACAGTAAACAAAACAAGTTAAAAAGAAAATTTTTACTTCTGTTTCTCTTTGCATAATTCTGTATTTCTTTGCGGAACCCTAAACGAGACCTTGGTGGCTTAAAATATTGGTGCTTTGCCTGGAACACCCTAAGCGAGACCAAAATCCAAAATTTACACCCCTAAGCAAGACGACAAGCATCCCTGTCTGTTTCATATGGGAGTCTCCACCCCCCCCCCCCGGATTATTAGAGGGAGTGCTTATTGGAACAAGGGTGCTTAACCAATTCATTACAGTAATTTCCCTTCTTGATTATTTATAATTGATTCTTAACACCACACCTCTTTATTAACCCTTTCACTCCCACAATCTTTTTGACAATCCTTCTTACTGTCTGTCACACATTGCTTATAATGTTAGTTCTGATAATTTAGTGTTGGATCAAATGGTACTTGTAATCTTGTACTTAATATCTTCTATATTCTCATCACTTGTCTGCTTAATATTGTATTGAAATTGTTAACAGTTGTTCTGTCTTGGTCACTCATGGGAGTTTTAGGGTTAAAATTGACTAATTCTTTATAAACATATAATGAGAATAGGGAATTACCTCTGACGCAGTACAACAGCATCTGGGTGAAAAAGATCTTGCCATTCCACAGCAGACCTCAGCTGAATATCAACTCTATTTGCCAATTGCACAGAGGACCTACAAACAAATGAATTATTCTGGTGGTTAAGGTACAAATTTCTCATAATGCACAAACTCTGACTTTTAATTTGCAAGTCAAAGAAGTTTGAATAAACAATCTGATAATTGCTATCGTGGTTGCTGTGCCATAATCAATCATTTTTTAATTATCATCAATTCGATTTACACTTGTAAAAAAAAAAAAAAAAACTATAAAAAGCTTCCAATCACGGTAAGGGTACAATCAGAAGCCCAGATAAGCTTTTTTCATTATCTTGGAAAGAGCTTAAAATCCAAAACGTGGTTTATGCCTGTCATAATTGCAGAAAAGTTACGTTTATTTTGTTGGGTAGAATTTATCTGTTGATTATGTGTGTTTTTACCTGTGCATACTATTAAATTAGTTACGTTATGGCGGTGACTAAGTTCTTTTTAATCGAACGTAAGCTTTTCATGCACTTGAACACATAGAGGAATATCACAACGTTTCTTCAATATTCCATACTCAAAGCTGTCCCATCGAACAAAACATCAAACTGTTCAGCGAGAAGTTTGATATGGTAAGGAACAAATTGCTAAAATTATACTTTGAAAAGTATTACTTTCAACTTCCACCCGCAGTCTTTCATTATTGACTAAGCATTGGTAAAAAAATATATAGAAAACGTTTTCCCTTCGAAGAAACGCAATAAGTCACAATTACTTATTTAAAATTCTTCCATTGTCGTCACTTGATCTCAAAAAAAAGCTAGCTTTATCGATTAATTTCAATATACTTTTCGTACGTGTTCAGATTTATGCTAGACCAAATCGCGCTTGTTCTCAACAAAAAATTATTTTTGCCTTCACGCTGTTACTTTCCTGGAGCTATAAGTAACTGGAAATACTTCGGTAGGATTTTACGATGTCGAAGACAGAAACCTCGTCGTTATAAGACTGTGCTTCGTTCGCGTTACAACAAGCAGAAGAATCGCTAACAATCCCAGTCTAACGTAGAAAATCTCACCTGTTAAGCTTGCTTCCCTCTTTTCCTTGAGTTTTACCATTGTTTTCCTCAACCACTGAAACTTTCTTCATTCTCATTGAAGATATTCATTGGCACTACTCCTTCTAGGAGCAATCTTGGTCATTTCGCAACACAAATCTTTTTGAAAATACAGAACTATCTCCCTCACTACCGACATCTTTGCTTCCTGTTGAAGTTTTGAACCGAGGGAAACTGGAATTCACCCATACTGCATTTTGGGTGTCTGCAAATCCAAAATGGCGAACAAGCGCATGGTTTACGTTGGTGGTTTGGCAGAAGAAGTTGACGAGAAAGTCCTTCACGCTGCCTTTATTCCTTTCGGAGACATTACAGATGTCCAAATACCGATGGATTACTCAAGTCAGAAGCATCGAGGATTCGGATTTGTGGAATTTGAGCTCGCAGAAGACGCTGCAGCTGCTATTGATAACATGAACGAGTCTGAACTCTTTGGGCGAACGATTCGTGTGAACATCGCCAAACCAATGAAGATCAAGGAAGGTTACAGTCGTGCTGTGTGGAGTGAAGATAGCTGGTTAAACAAACACGCGGGGCAGACTTTAGAAGATGCCGAAATGAAAAGTTCGGAGGACAAAACTGAGGAATCTGCTGAAGAAGGAAATGCAAAGCTGAAAAAGGGAAATCCTCGAGTATTCATGGATGTAACTATCGGGGGACGCCAGGCAGGAAGAGTTACCATTGAACTAAGACATGACGTTGTTCCCATGACTGTTGAAAACTTTCGTGCCCTCTGTACTCACGAAAAGGGGTTTGGATATAGAGGCAGTACCTTCCATCGAGTAATCCCTCAGTTTATGTTGCAAGGAGGAGATTTCACAAAGCACGATGGTACGGGAGGAAAGTCGATTTATGGTCAGAAATTTGCAGACGAGAACTTTGTCCTGAAGCATACTGGTGCTGGTGTGCTATCAATGGCTAATTCTGGGACCAATACCAATGGTTCTCAGTTTTTTATTACCACTGAGAAAACTGACTGGTTAGATGGAAAACATGTTGTGTTTGGCCATGTGATTGACGGAATGGATGTTGTCAGAAAAGTAGAAGCAACAGGATCAAAAAGTGGTAAAACAAGCAAAAAGATCATGATTGAAGACTGTGGCGAGTTATAACAGTCCTTGTTTAGAACTAATGAATAGTTATCTATTTTGCTCTACCGGAGTGTCTGCCCACAAGTTTTTCTCAGCATGGGATAAGCACTAAACATTGGCAGACCTGATAGCAAGACTGTTGTATCTTGGTTTTACACAACCAAGGGTTTCAGTATAAGCCGGTTGTGCCGCCTCTGACACTTCTAAGTGCCATCTGTTTAGCTTGCTAGCAGGCTCTAGTGTTTGGGTTTCATTTTTTGGTGCCCTGCCAGGCCATAGCCACCAATTATACCAGCGACACCCACTTAGGGAAATATGTATTGAAACCTCCACACTTCAGTTGTGAATTTTCACTTTTTTTTTTGCTTCAAAAATCATAACTACAAAACAGTTGTGAATAATACTCAAGTTGAGTGTCAGAAAAGGTTGACCAATAAAGGCATTTGTTGGCTGTAGAATAAATGAGAAATTCTTTACAGCTGCAAGCCTACTTGTATTCCAGACTTGATGCATGGTAAGGCTGATTGTGTATCAGACTCCAATGTTCTATCCATATTTGTTTTAAATTTTTTACTGCCTAATGGTGACAAAAGGCAATAAACTTTTGTGACCTTTTTGCTTTTATGTATGTGTAAAAGTCGGTTTTTTTTAGAAAAAGTTGACCTCTTGTAGACTCCAGCCAAGAGTTGATTTAAAAGAGAAAATTCACTCCTCATTCAGTCATAGAGTAAGTTAAACACATCTGATCATGTAGAGGGTGATGATGTAAATGATGGTTCGACTTAAAGGAAAAATTACATTATAAATCACAGTAGATCTAAGAAAATTGACAAACAAAATAAAAACGAAGAAAGGACTAATGGCTTACAGATATTTTCTCCTATTGACATGAACGGGCCAAGTGAAGTAAATGATAGTTTAAAGTAAGAACATGCCGCACCAAAGGCCAACACTGAATATATTATGCACTGAAAAACAGAACTTAAAAGTGTTATCAAACGAGTCACATGAAGATTAAGGAATAAAATTTAAATCAAGAGTAACGCATGTACATGAGAGGTCACGTACATTTGAATTTTACACCCCTTACAGAGAGCTTTCTTTGATGTTTTCAGGGGACCCTCTTGCTTTGAGGCCTTGGTTGAAAATGAAATCTTTTGTGAATCTCTCCTCTTTAAAACATGGTGTTATCGAGGAAAGCGATTGGGTTTTCTGATCTGTCGTGAATCTGATGGTTGGGTGTCACAATCTCAGGGAGGAAATGTCATCAACATAACATTTCCATTCTCTTGGCTTGATTTTTTTTTTTTTTTTAATTAGACAATACTTTTTTTCATAACAACATGCAAATACATAGTTTTTCAGAAAAAGGAAACCCAGAGGTTGGCCACAATATCAAGGGTCTCCTATTTATGTAAAAAATCTTACAGAAATAGTTAATAAAAATATAAAAAAGTCAAATAAGAAGCAGCTAAATATCAATTATAAAATTGCGATTCAATAAATATTCATATGTTTCTTCAATTTTGATTTAAACTCACAAACGTTAGGGCTGTCACAAAAATTAAATACATTAATAGGAAGATTATTCCAGGGTTTGATAATTCTGACAAAGAAAGAATTTTTGTAGCAGTTCAGTTTTGCGAGTTTGAGTTGTAGTTTATATGGGTGGTTAGATCTCGACTTAGTGTTTTTACAAAGTTCAAAATAGTCGCTGAAATTCAATCCATTTAGATTGAATACAGTTTTATAACATTCCACTAAGGAAAGGAAATCTCTCCTTTGTACTAAAGAGTTCCATTTAAGAATTTTACACCTCTCCGTATACGCCATCTCTTGTCTTCTTTGGCCTAAAGCAATTCGCGAGGCTCTTCTTTGTATCTTCTCAATTTCATCGATGTCTTTGATGAGGTGTGGTGACCACACCGGGCAGGCGTATTCCAAGATTGGACGAACCAAGGTTTTGTACAAGTTTGAAAAAATATCTTTGTTTTTACCGCCTACTGTGCGTTTAAGTAAGCCAAGAACCTTATTTGCTTTGTGAACTATTTGTTCAACATGTTTTGACCATTTCAGATCACTAGTCATAATAACTCCAAGATCTTTGTAATTAGATACATTCCTCAACACTGTACTCGATATATTGTACCGTGTGGACTTTTTGTCTNAAAATAGAAGTGGCCATAGTGCAAGTCGACATTAGAGTTCACTACAAAACTTCTCAAAGTAACGATACTGCTATCTGACTGCTAAAAAACACGCAGGAAGGTGTTAATGAGAAACAAAACACATGGAACCCCAATGGGTAGTACAAACATGGCAGTGTCATTTACAATTATATTCTAATTTGCTACCCCGCTCAAACAAATATAAAACATTTATCATTCAATAAGTAACCATAATTGGGGTCTGTCAACATGAGCTGTATGCGACCCCTCTTTATTATGCCTTCATCTACAGAATTGATAGGAATGGTACATGAACGGAATGAAAACTGGGAAATGTAAAAAAAAAGCAAGATAAACTACCCTACAAAACAATATAAATTATGTTGGTATATGCAAAAACTTCTTCTAAGAGTAAGCGACAATCCCTAGTCACTGGGTATTTAATTTATGAATATAAATGACAACAGCTCAAATATATAGCCTACCGTTAATGAAGCAATTGTGACGACATACCATACAACACCCCAAAGAAAGGGTTACGTAACCCATGACAAATACATATCGTTTTCATGGCAGAAATTGAAACGAAAGAGGGAAAATACCTAAGAGACACGCTTGTAAGAGCAAAATTATAATTTGAATTCAGGAAATAATGCAACCCGACCACAATATGGAATGCGAGCCCGCATCAGTCTGTCTTCACCTTTATTCTCATGGGAAAATCACCAGAAGGCTTGGTTACTAAAGTGAGCCTTGGGGTGCTAACCATTTGAAAGAAAAATCCGATTGGTGTAACCGTGGCATAAAGGTAAGGGAGTTTCCGAATTCATGGACCAACCGGATGAGATTGAGATTACTATTTATCCATCAGGCGTTTCGTCCCGCTCCAACCCAAGGCAACCCAAGCGGAAAGGCCTGGAAACGGAATTTTATGACCTTCCGTTCCGAATGGAAAAAGAGAAGTACCTCTGAAGGTACTCCACAATTTCCGAAAGGAATTTCCGGAAAATTACCTCACCATTTGACTTCAAACCGAAATTTCCGAATTTTTTGGCCAAATGGTAAGCACCCTTGGTTTATAAGGTAATTTGGTAACTTCAAATTACCAAACGTAATTTGATATTACCGTTAACTAACGTTTGACATTACCGTTAACGGGTCTCTGTAAAACGCGGACCGGATAGATGCGGATGGCGGTGCGGATAGAAATATGCGGATGAAAAATTGCGGTTGGAAAATGCGGATAGACAAAGAAATCTGTTGGAAAAAAAAATTAGACATGTCATTACAGTAAAAAGGGGGTTGACAGGCCTACACGACTCCCCAGCGCGTGTTTAGAATAGCCTATTCAAAGTTTGGCCCTCACGAGTATGTCCTTGAGCGATCGCCCTCTTTTGTAAGATATGAGCGACGGATTTTTGTATAATTCGCTCAGTACTGGTTTTGTTTCTCTTAAATGCCAGTGTCTCTTGAGAATTTGCTTTAGGTTTGGCACTGATGGTTGGTATTGTGTAACAAAAGGCAAGATTCGTTGGTTCGTCTTCGGTTTCCGGTTGAAGAGCGACTTTCCTGTTTTTGAAATTCACCTCTGAGAAGATTGTGTTAATGAGGTCCTCTGGGTAGCCTCTCTTTAGCAAATGCACTCTGAAATTTGCAATTTTCTCCTCGAATATTGTTTGAGAGGAGTTTGTTCTGAGAAGTCTAAGGGCCTCTCCTTTTATGAAGCCTTTCTTAACTCTTTGTGGATGACAGGAACTATAGTGTGTATACTGAAATGTCTCAGTTTTTTTTTAAATGAGTACGCACATCAAGGATTGCGTCCTTTTCGAATTGTTCGCCTTTGTAGATCTAGGTGTCCAGGAATGTTGTTTCCTTATCGGAAATTTCAGTCGTAAATTTTATTGTTGGGTGATGATTGTTTGCTTTTTCAAGGAAACCTTCTATTGTTGCTTTGTTTGTACTCTGTATTGTTGCTTTGTTTGTACTATTGTTGCTTTGTTTGTACTTTGTTTGTACACTAAGCATCTTGACCCTTTGAACTTGTCATCTTTAAACAGCTTTATCACTAGAGTCACTCCTACCAGGGACAAAACTGACATGAGCTGGGAACTGGTAAAAAACAAACTGANTTTATTGATTGTAAACTGCTTAGCAGTCTGGTAAAGTCCCCTGCACAGTGTTGTAAAGCGCCATGAGCTCAAGATATGAGCACTATATAAATAAGGGCAAGAGTACCATATAACCATATAACCCATACATTAATTATGCATTCAGTCTTTACTTTCTGCCTTAGTTCTCGGTGAGTACGCCAAACGATAGGGTCACCGGTTTTTCTTGCTTCCTTGCGCCAGTAATCTCTGGTCTTCATTAGGGTGCGAATATCATCTGTGATACATAGGTTGGGTTTGTTGCCGCGTAATTTAAACGTTTTAACTGGTGCATGATCCTCAAGTATATCGATGAACAATGAAATAAAAACGTAGAGTTTGTCCTCAACACGTCCAAAACATCCACTATCGACCATGGTGCTTGAGATATATCTTTACAAAAGGCGTTTGGCTGGTAGTGATGAAAACTACTCGCAGTAATGTACACTGGCCTACGTCGAATCTTCTTCAGTCTTAAGACTACATAGACTAGGTCATGATCGCTGATCGAAACATTCCATAACCCTCGCCTTTTGAACCAAATTTGTATCCGATGCAAGGATCCGACATCGAGAATAGATTTAGAGGTATAGGTGACTCGCGTCGGCGTGTCGATAAGTTGCGACAAATTATACGAATGGCAAAAATTCAATAATGCTCTCGCTTCAGGGTTCACACTGTTTTCAAGCCTGCAGTTCATGTCTCCCAACAAACAAATTGGCAAATTCAACGAAGATGCATAAATAAAGTTGCCAGCAAGGTCAGAGTCAAAGAAATACAAGGGAGTATCTGGTGGTCTGTAGATTTTGCAGACGATAAACGACTTCATTTTCTTGACTTGTATTTTCAACCAAAGTTGATATGTAGGCCAGAGGTTGTAATCAGCGAAATATCGCTCAAAAACTCTGTCTCATAGGACTGTGAAATATAAGCACACACTCCGCCGCCTCGGTCTTCTCTTGGCGATCTAAGCGGTAGATGTTATATCCAGGAATTTCGACTTCGGCATCAGTTACAGAGTTATCAAGCCAGGTTTCCGATATCGCAAAAACATCAAATTCGTTAGTAACAACAGTTTCTTTGACCAGAATGCAGTGCTCCCCGTGAGCGCCTAACCCTAAATTTCACTATCCCGCGAAACACCCACTTTGTCGTCAAAGGAAAACTCCGAACGCGTACGGTCGTCAGTTTTGAATCTTCTTTAATTAAGTACGGTTCGACTGAGAACAATCAATTATAATACTTAGAAAGGAAATCAAATGAAACGATAAAATAAATGATGGTTGAACTTACAGATATTTCCTCTGA